CTAGAATGACATGGCCCTTATGCACTCAGAACAGGACTTTGTCATCATCAGATTTCGTAAAAAAATTGAAGAGTCCAACACACCTTTACCTCATCCAGTGCAGACCTGTCCGCTGCTGCCAGCTAGTGAGAAATGACTGATATTCATTTAAGTTTACAGAGGAAAAACAGACATCAGCTGTTCTGGACGAACATCGCACAATTAGACGTGCGTTGTTACGTCGTTTCACGTCATATGTGACTACGTTAATACCCCAATTATGATCCAGTGAATGGCACGATATACAATCAGTAGTAAGAGTGGCTTCTCCTATCGGGGACTCATCGGAATGACGTCACGCCTGGTTCTAATTAGTCCCCCGAGATGGCTCAAAGTAGACAATTTTAGGGCGCCGTTTTAGCGATTTTTGTCGGAAAATTGGTTTTAAAATTGCATAGTTGTTTTAAGGGAATATCAAATTTTTATATGAATGATAGATGAGACTAGATTTCAGTAACACTTTAATGATATGCCAAATAGATTGAAGTGCTTCAGTATCTGTCAGTAAGACCAAGGAGGTTTTAAATTTTAAACCTCCTTGGTAAGACGGACGTCGTTATCTTTGACAATTTGGATTAAATTCTCCCTTGACATTTTAGGCTTGTTATTTTCCATGTACTGGAAATACAACTTCTTCTTTGCAATGATTGGACAATGTTTAGAGTTAGACGTTCAAAGGTTAGTTGTAACAAGTCGTTCGGTGTAATGTAGCCAGCTGCCGCCGCGCCGCGTGCCTGCGAAGCTGGTGTGTTATGCCGGTTATACCTGCAGCTATACCGATACAGATACATAACAGATATAATGACCTTTACCCTTCCATACAGGTGAGTATGTAGAATCTTAACATTATCAAGGTGTGCACAATCATCCAAGTACCCTGTTCATTCTAAAGGCACCCAAAGCGATGTCAGGTTAGTAAAACCATATTTTCGGAGTCATTTTTTCAAATTGTAGTATTAAAGTTAGATCAACCCTATCCCAATATATTCGAATGAAAGCTCATCTGTGTTGGTAGAATCCATAGTTAAAGAGTTTGACTTGTTCCAACACAAAAAGGGAACTCACCATAAATTTTCGGCTGATCCCGTCAACCTTCATCAGATTTGTGATGCAGTCGCTGAATTAGCCTCTACCAGGCTTGGGGAGGCGACTGGAAAGAGTAGAAATCGGCCAAATCGAGAAATAAGCATGCCAAGGGAGTTTGTCCGTTGAGAGAACAGTTCGCCGCACCCCAAGCCTCTACCAGGCTTCGGAAGGCGACTGGAAAGGAGCGGCAAACTGTTCTCTTTAGCAGACCAACTCCCCTAGCATGCTATCTCTCTTTTTGGCCGATTTCTACTCTTTCCAGCCGCCCCCTGAAGCCTGGTAGAGGCTAGAATGACATGGCCCTTATGCACTCAGAACAGGACTTTGTCATCATCAGATTTCGTAAAAGAAAAATTGAAGAGTCCAACGCACCTTTACCTCGTCCAGTGCAGACCTGTCCGCTCCTGTCAGCTAGTGAGAAATGACTGATATTCATTTAAGTTTACAGAGGAAAAACAGACATCAGCTGTTCTGGACGAACATCGCACAATTAGACGTGCGTAATAGGCTTCTAAATGTCCTTGTTGTTACATACGTGACTACGCGCCGCCACAATTACAACAAACGCATTTCAGTTCCTAAAATCTGTGGGGAAAAAGACGAAATATCGTATAAAAGTGGTTTCTTGACAAGTCTAACTAACGTCAGCAAGAAATTTGATATTTCAAACCTACCGGAAATACGTAGAGGTTTTGCCATTTCATATTTCTGCAACCAAAGATATGATGTGACGCAGGACAGGCTGAGAGAATGAGAGAAGGCCTCACTTCCTCCAGCCTACAAGGAAATGGTATCATCATTAATTGTTTTCAGATCCGGAATTCACAAAACGTTTTTATTTCATTGCTGAGTTTTGAATAGTTCTGATTCAAATCTTGAAACAAGGATTTTCCGCTCATTTGCACTTCCCACTGCTTGTTAGCCTACGGCTTGTTTAATACCGATTGTTAGCAAAGGTTTACCTCAATTATGATCCAGTGAATGGCACGATATACAATCAGTAGTAAGAGTGGCTTCATTATATTTATAATTGCACAGGAAGTTTGGGAAAGTAGGAAGTGAAGATTTTTCTCTTTGTTGTAAAATTTCGTCCAACACAATTCATTCTTTGAACTGCTTCTTCTCAGCGCAGAATCTTTTTGCATATGAAGTGGAAGGCGCTCTTTTGACATACTGATTTTTGTCAGGAGTGTCTTCCCACCACTTTTGATGCACTCCTGACGTCATCACGTTTCCGACTTCCGGAAAGTCAGCGACTGCATCACAAATCTGACGAAGGTTGACGGGATCAGCCGAAAATTTATGGTGAGTTCCCTTTTTGTGTTGGAACAAGTCAAACTCTTTAACTATCCCAATATAATTCGCATACTGATATTTGTGAGGCATAAATGCGATGTCGCTGATGGAAAACTGCTGTTTTGGATCGTAAGCTGGTTCTAGCTATTTCTTGGTGGTATTTCGGGTGGTACCAAAAAATGACTCCTAGCCTTGTGTAGCTTGTTTTGAGCTATTTTAAAAGCTTCAAGTATGAAATGATGATGAAAAATACTAAGAAATGACAGAAAATGGTAATACATTTTATCAGCAGACAGATTTCGTCGTACAGAATATTCCTGTATTGCCGCCCTAAAATTGCATTGGGTGCCTTTAAAAGCAAAAGTATTCAAACGGTATAAGCACAACTAGCAAAACAAAAAAACAAACCATTACGCCCCCATATTTGTATACGAGTTTCTAAGCCTTTTAAGGTAATGCAGCTGTAGCAACTCAAGTACCCACCACTGCCACAGCGCCAACGTTACATACGACTTTTGAAGCGAGTATTGACAAAATAATGAGCAAATTAAAACTAATGGGCTTGGATCGAGAAGATGGAATAATCGAGGTACTTGAATATTATATGATTTGTGATTTGAATATTATAAGACCATCAGAACCTTGATGAAGAGAGGCTTGCATGCCAATTTGATTTTCTCTGAGCATGGAGGTAGAAAAAGAGACAAGGGACCGGACCGCGTAAAAGCGACCCCTATCGGAATCACGTCAACACGCGATAAAGACTTATGTAAAGTACTAGTATATCTTGCTTTACTCCCCAAGCAGAGGTTTAGGGTTTGGCTTATTTTTGGCGTGTTTTTATGCCTTTTATTCCTTTTTTTCCCCCACAACCCATGATGGCTTATCATATCAAATTTGCTCTATGCGTAAGAATAAATAAATTCTTAGCCCAAAACCCAAACCTCTGCTTGGAGAGTAAGCTTGCTTCAGTATCGGGGGGTGCACGATCCTAATGTTTTCTTGCTACCGTTATTTTTATAACCATGTAAACCCTGTAAATACCAGCACATTTACCCTGACATTTACCTTACCAACTTGCAGTGCGACATTTCGGCGCATGGTGGCGCTGTTGAGCAAAGTGTTTCCATGCAGTACTTGAGACATGTGTTCGCCTACTACCCAGGAAATTTTACGTGCCCTAATCTCATTTTGCTTTGAAACCGGTTCAGTACCCTGATGCTACCTTGGACTAGAATCCAATGCAAAACTAAGATTATTGCTGTGAGTGTGAACAAGTTGCTTTCTAGTGGACATTTAACCATGGTGGACGTAGGGGGAGGGCAGATTGGTCCATTATGAATTCATTATTATGGGTTCACCACACCACGAAGTGGTGTGGTGAAACCATATTGCTTTTTCTGATGTTTCTTCTCCTTCTCCTCCTCCTCCTCCTCCTGCCATATCTTTAAATGGATTCAGCTTCTTCATTTTAGGGCCTAAGGTCCTGAAATTTGGTATGGAGGTACAGTGGGCAAATACCCCTAGGCGTTTTTTAAATTATTGTGATACAGGCTTTTAGAATGGTTTTATTTGAGTTTTTTGGCTGTGTTATAGCAAATGTATTACTGTGTTAGTCTGCCTTGTTTACCACGTTTGGGCATGAGTCATCAGAATGGAATGCAGGGCATCAACCAATAGGCATGCAGCTTTCCTCTATACTTCTTGCTGATTGGCTGTTGGGATTTAACTTGATTAACACCTGCACAGAAGCATTTCCATACTGACAGTATGTCTGTATTCAAGTGTTTTGGTAGGTATTTCAAGCTTTCCTGCTCCAGCATTGGAATGCCGGGCATGGACGTTTTTTTTTTATTTGAAAATCAACAGTTTGCATTATGCAATTAAAAATCCTAACCAATAAAGTAGGGAATAGCTATCCAACTGTTGTTTTAGTTGTATTTTACTTCATATTATAGTTATATCAATGTAAATCATTGTTTTCCCTTGTGTTTCCCATTCTTTCCCTGCCATGTCGTAAAATGTGGTGAACCCATCGCTGTATTTGCTCCAAAGCAAATATTGGCCTTTCTAGTTTTCCTTGTAATCGTGTCACCATGGATTTAAACCACCTCCTTGATGTCACTCTTTTAGTACTCGACATCTCAAAGCAGATATTAGGAGGAAAATCAAACGTTTTCTGGCCAGGGGTATATTTTTTGGCTCACAGGTCATGAGTCCAAACAGGTCAGCTAGAAAATGATTTCCAGGCCGGGCAATGTTGGAAGCGAAGACAGTTGAACAGCAAGGGTCTACACTTTCAGAAACAGGGCAGCATTCACAACTTCGTATGAAACAGGGAGGCTGGCTAGAAGGGGGAGGGCTGCTTTTACTTTATCCAGCCACTAAACAATTTTCCTACATATATGCATGACAAAATCCTAACAAGGACCTTTATCAGAAACTTGGCAGTTTACTCAACCCATGTCTATAGATTTTTCTGTGTGAATAAAGACTGATTGCATGGGGGAGGGGCATTCTTCACCTCAACCAGTCAGAAAATAAT